TCCTAGTAGTAAGGCCAGGAGCGCCCCTAGCAGCGTCCTTGCTCCTAGTGGCGATCTTTGCTCCTAGTAGCATCCTTTGTTCCTAGTAGTAACGTCAGGAGCGCCCCTAGCAGCGTCCTTGCTGCTAGGCATCTATCGGCCCATTGAGTTTTCGAGAGAAGAATCGGCTTCTTTCGCCTTCTGACTGCTTATTTGATACAGCGGCTGACCCATGTACGCGACAAAAAGAAAAGGCACACCATGTTGGAATACATGTTAACTGAAAGCTTGGATGCCGCACTCGATTTGAGCAGCCAAAGGTGGCAAGTTCAGTCCAATGTTGCTAGTGTGTATAGAAAATTATGATACCGGGTGGAGGTGGGAAACCACCCGCGACAAACATGCGCGACAAAACTAGAACCACGATGAGCCATGGACTTTAAGAGCTGACCATGGACCAGAAGCAGATGAGTTTGTGCGAACAGGCCGGGCTGCCTAGCTTGATATACGGTTCTTCTCAGGTGGACAGGTCATGACAGGTCCACTATTCACCTGTACTCACCTCCTTTGAAGGAGAACCCTTTGGGCAGGAGGAGAGGACCTAGGAAGAGAACCAACGGAGAAATGGAAGTACACCTAGATACAGTAAATAGAAGAATCGTCAAATTCAGCATGTTGTGATCGTTGTTCTGCCTTGTCAGCAACAGTGCCCGTGAGCTGACACAGCACAGCAAAAATCCCAACTGTTCCAGGCCTGTTCCTGATCGAATACGATGAGGACACCAATACCTACGAGAACAGGACGTGTTCAACGAATATGAGAATGTGCACCGCTTGCTGCCGGAGCGGGCCTTGGTCCAGCGTCCCATTGAGCTTCTGGTCCAAGATCATCTCACTAAGCTTTGCCTGGAAGGCAACAGGTGACTGTCATCTTGTGAGAAAGCATGAGCGCTGACAGCTCTTATTGGCCTGCGTGCGAGTCAAAGGCAACTCGATGAGCTCAGCTACATGAGTGATCTCCACCCTGCTGAAGGGTTCCAATATCCTGCAGCGAGAACCTACGTAGCAAGTTCAAAGCCTACAAAGCGTTGCATACTGTCTTTCTTCGTTTATGCCAAAAGAAAGTAAGTAAGAAAGAAACAAAAAGAAACCATGAAAAAACAAAGTCCTGAGGATGTTCTGCTCCAATAGCGTCTCATTGAGGTCTGAGAGGTGGAACTGGATGATTGGGTCCTTCAATATGAAAACAAGCAATTCTGGCTAGACATGGATCCGCTTGATATGATACGCTCTACTTGCTTCTTTGCAATGCTTCTCTGATGAAATCCTCGGAGAGCTGTTGCTTGTGCTGCTCCAGGACCCCCTCAAATTTCTTGAGAGATCGAGCCTAAAGAGTCGCTTGCAGGCTTGACTCCACGGATTGTACTCAACACGCTCAACATGCACACATGCTTTGCTTGAATCTGTCATCAATGGTGGGAATTAGCTGTCAAGCTCAGTGCCTCATGTGCGCTAGCGACAGCGGCCATAGCATCAATCTCTGGTCCCACATATTGTAGTCCTGCAAGTATAACTACTACTGCGAGTATAACAAAGGCAAAAAGCAAGGCAGCTTAGCTTTGTCTTTATTCACGCAGCTGAGATCCCTGCCAGACTTGCTACTAATGATGGTGGAAGTCTCCTTGGGAAAAGCAACGTGAGCAAGCTTGATCAGGGTGCCAATGAACTCAACTTGCCTTCTCAAATGCAGTCCTTCGGCTGGTTAGACATGATCTTCGAAAGAAGCATATATTTCATGGCTGTTCTCGCCTCAGGCCAAAGAAAAGTGTAATAGAAATGCTTGGGACTTCCCAAGGGGAATTACAACCTGACCGCTTGCAGGCCTTCGCTGTGGTATTCGTCTGGTGGTAGGCCTCGAAAGCCTCATAGAAGTAGGAGAAGGCTGTCCGGTGGTCCTCCAAAGCAAAACTTACTACACATTCTTTGGGAGGAGAATCGAACGCATGAGGAAGCGTAGCACTGCATCCGAAGCTGCAATATGAGCAGCTGTTGTTTTGCTATCAAGCAGGGGTTGATTCTTCTTTTGAAAGGAGCTGAGAGTTTGACTTGCTAATCAAGTAGCTGCAAGAATATGATGTGTTCCGCACTCGCATAAGGTCGCTTGTGTGCACGAGCAACGGATTACAAGGTACGAGTACAGAAGCAAATATTCTGAAGGAGCAAGCCTTCTCCCGTGCACTGAGAACACCTGACAGCAGGTCAATCTCGGCCTGGCACACGATCCGTACAGGTTCATTGCTGCGTGTCATCCTGCGTTCATAGTCTGGCACCTGTAGCAATGGTGGGCAGTGGATGGCATTGGCCTCAATTGTAAGATGAAGCAAAACCATGATGGAGCACTCCATTCTGCCTTGAAAAACTTGTATACAGACTCTATTGGGCTTTGAACATTTGTCTTCGCTGCTGTCAGAGCAGCTTTGGCCTCCGGAAATGAATGTATGTATATACGGAACTTGCGCATGGCAATGACTGAGCATTGATGAATTGTCAAGTTGAGTCGCGCAAAGAACAAAGAAAGAAGATCTGTGCTTGGCGCAGTTTGCCTTGGGCATGTTCTGCACAGCGTAGTGGACCCGGCACTCAATGTTGTGTATCCTCACAGAGATTGATCAAAAGGACACGAGCATAGGTCTACATCACATTGCTGCGACCTCAAAGCAGTTGTTTATAGTTGTTTTGTATGTCTGCCACAAATATGCACAAGAAACAGCTCAAAGCGTGTTGGCTTGGAAACTTTCGTGCTGCAGCTCTCAAGCGAGGCAGTGCCACTCAACAAGGAGCAACTTGTCATCCAGTTTCTTGACTTCAGACAGTAACTTCCTGCCACCAGAAATGTGTGGCATGTTCAGAATGTGTCGTAACGGATGGCCGATGGCCATGTTCTGAAATGCTGGCAGGATTATATATTTGAACCAGAAATTATGGAAAACTTCTCTCCGGAACATCTGAGCCTCAACTCTATGCAAGCCATGGGTTGTCAGTTGTCAGCTCAACTCTTGTAGCAGTTGCAGTAGCATGTCAATCCATGACGGCGGTTCGTGAGCAGCTCCAATGCATCTTGGTACTTGAGCTCAACCCTCAGGTATGGGGTTCAGTTTGGCAGGAGGAAACTGAACCTTCTGGTCAGCCTTTCTGGCAAAAGGGTGCAAAAGGTGCAAAGTCGGTTCCAACTGGCTGGAAGTCTCTGGAAGTCTCTGGGAGTCTCTGGGAGTCTCTGGGAGTCGGGCAAGTACAGCCCAGCTAATTTGGTCTCAACTCTGTGGCGCCTAGCGTGGAAACACTGTGGAACATGTGGACCTGTCGGTGATAGTTGAGTCCTTCCAGCGAATCTCAATTTGCACTGAGCAGGCTGAGCAGGCAGCAGGAAAGTGCGCTTCTCACCTGGAGCAAAATGCATAGATCTTGTCGTCTCACTCAGTATTGAAGGTGGTGTCCCCAGCAGCTGTCAGGACGGCAACCTTCTACAATCCATTCTGAAGAAAGTCACACTTGTACCCAGCCTTTGCACCATTCGATGCAGTCCTTGCACATTTCTATCTGCAAAGCCTCACACTGGAGGAAATCTATGAATTGTCTCCACACGCCATGAGGTATGAGACTGCCTGGGAACCCTCCGTCTTGGCCAGCAGATCGATGAAGTGTCTAACAATCTTTGCTGTTTTCGCCTCCGCAGATCTCGGCCGCTAGAGGTGAGGTAGGTAGGTAACGGTAGGTAGCTAGTTAGTAGGGATGAGGTAGCTATAGTTACAAGTGGACGCTACTAGTAACTGGACGCAGGGTAGTAGCTCACGCTATTCATTTGGTCCCTAGATTTTAGGGAAACTTAACTATAGGGATTGTTCACTCAAAAGAAATGTTCAATGCGGCATATAGCGCGGCATTCTAGAATCAAATGGGCGTGGCTACGTGAGAATGAGGAATTGGAAAGGTACTTGGAGGGCTCAGTCAGGTGTTTGGGGTGTTGAATGTTGAAATGCAAAAAATGCAACTTTCAGAATTAGAAACATCACAAGTGTATGCTGAGGCAATGTCGAAGCTTGCATTTGGATTAAGAACCGTTCACATTGTGGGTCAGCCTGTGTGCTTCAACCTGTGTTGGGCAATAGATCCGCAGCCGCTTGACGTCTTACATAATCTGATCTCTTTCGAGGATGTGCAACTCATTGCGGAAACATTTTGATGTGCAATCCCGCAGTAGCTTTAGGCTACCGCTAAAGTGAAAAGGAACCAAGGGAGTGAGCACGACAAACCAATACAAACACACGTTCCAAACATGTTTCACTTCGACCCTGAAGCTTTTGGGCAGCATGTGGCATCGTCGGTGCCCCTTGCTCAGGTATGATGCACCACCCCGACTGGACAGGTGGGTGGCTATGCATGACAATGTTGAGGCGACTCTCCATTGTGCACTTCATGAACAGCCCCATCAAGACACTTTGGCTGATACGTACTGATCAGCTTTTTCGATCTTTATCGATATAATATGCCTGAGCCATCCGTTGCTCCTGCGAGATGAGTTTCTTAATGTGTTTTAGTCTTAGACTCTTAGACAAGGTCTTCGTCAATTTTTAGCCAATGAATGGGAATCCCGGCGCAATGTATGGCATGTGAGGTCACCCTGCTCCTGACCTTCTGCGGCAACATGTGCGTATGTGTGCAGCTCATCCAGGATGCTGGGAAGCCAAGCTGGAGGTGAAGCGGACTCATCATGCAGCTCATCAGCTTCATCTCATGGTGCCCTGTCTTTTGTGTCAGGGTTCCCTCAACCTTTTTGTTGCCCCCTCTTTCAACCAGTAGATGAGTGTCTGCTGGTTTGATTTGGCCGCAAGGCCCATCTGACCAAGCCATTTGGCTCGCGGATGATGGAGCTGTTGCGGTTGGAGAGCACTTGGCTGCGGTTGGCCGGTGTGCTGAGCCGCCGTGGCATGCAGTTGAGGCAACTGAAGTGTGGGAGGATAGTGACCGAACGAAGGTGCATTCTACTTGGCCGGTCGCTGATGGGGTTTGAGCTAGGAACTTCTGTGGGCCATTGCTAGTAGGTTGGAGGCCAGTGCATTTTCTTTCCCTTGAGCTAGGAACTTCTGTGAAGGAGTGGGCATAGCCGTAAAATCCGCGGCAAGGCTCTCGGAATGCCCGACATAGAGTCCAGCGTGACCGTGGCGCCATGAGACGGCTGTGTCCGTCTGGCTGTGTTTCTTGCGGTTTCTTGTCTTCCTTTTTGGGGTCTACTAATAGCTTCTTGTTACTACTAGTAAGGCACCTGTTACTACTAGCGAGGCACTTGTTACTACTAGCAACAAGGTATACAGAGGAATAGATGTGTTCTGCTTGTTGGGTTCGATGAAGCAAATCTAAAGGCTTGTCTAGCAATTGCCGTTTTGTTGAACCTTTCTGAACGTGGTATCTTCAAAACATCAATTGTTTTTTTGTATTTACTTCTTCTTTGCCTTTGGTGAAATGCTGGACAGAAAGTGCATAAAACGAGAGATGGTGAGATACACTTCACACAGAGGGTGCATGTGGGTAGAATGAATGCTTAAGCACTGTTCTCCCAAGAAGACTGTCTCATTGAAGCTAAGATGTGGCCCTGCGTGGAATGGCAAGGGCGTGAGATAAAGATTATGCCAGAATTAGGGGATAGGCCACGCTCACGCACTGTGAGGGGCACGCTCACGCACTGTCAAGCACAAGCAGGTTTGTCGCAAAGGTAGATGTCATGAGAAAAAGGTATCTTGTTTGGTAGACGCAAGGGTATGATGAACAGAAATGCTTTACGAGTGACAAAATACTCTGACTTAGGGCAAAATCTCACGCGCAGAGAAACATGCAGGAAAAAGCTAATGGACATCAAGCATGCTCTTTTGCAGAGGGTTGATTCAGAATGCAAGCATCTCAGTGTCTTGTTCTAACGAGGGCTCATGTTGCCTTCTTGTATGGTCCGGAGTCCTTTCTATTCCAAAAAACTAGACGCAGTTGTTCGGATTTTGCTGCATTGTTCCAGGGAATGAGGGCTCTCTGAAGAGGAGCACTTAGTAGTAGGTGCGGCAACATTCAGTCAGCACCTCAAAGCCAAACGTGCTAGGGAGATAAGGCAAACCTTCCTCCCACAGCGCCATCACTGCATCATATGGGTCTCCTGCCTGACCTGCACCACTACTATTTCAACTATATAATTACACAGCAATTCTACCTGTCCTTGGCCCTGCAATCATCAACTTTGCCCCAAAATGAGAGCAAAACCAGCAATCGAATCAATCCCAATCAACAGTCACACGCAAGCTACGTAGCGACCAAGGTCAGATTCACTGCGCCTTTGGCAATTCTGCAAAGAGCGGCCGAAGGTCCTGATCATATATACTACTGACTAGTAACTTAGGACTTGTCGGACATACACGCCAAGTCCAAAAGCCTATGTCATCAGGATTGATCCAACATTGGCATTTCCTCTTAAGGCCTATGTCATCAGGCCACAACCATGATATTCATAGAAATATGTATGAGGTATTCAAGGAAGCAGCGCCCACAAAAACACATAGTCGCACCCTATGTCACCACTGTGTCACCAGGGTGCCAGGCAGTGGTATCTAGCATTATTTAGCTGTTTTTTTTATTTTTTTTGTCCGGGAGGTGTCCACAGGTCCTATGACACCAGGTTTCCCAACCCAGACATGTTTTTTGCTCGATATGTCAGGGCACATGACTTAGCCCTGGGGGTAGCCAGATTGGTATGTCACTTGCATCACGTTGGCCTAAGTCATTAGACAGTAGTATATATATATATGTATATATATATATCGGAAGACATGGTTGAGGGTTCTTTTAAGTAAGCAATTTCCAAGGAGCAAGAATTGTGCAAATAACAAACTGCTTGTTCTTTTCCAAACCTTCACCGCGTGTGGATGCTCCTTGCTGAGAGAAGAGATGTCCTGCGGCAGTTTCTTAGCCACAAGGAGGTCTCCCAAGGCCTTGGAATGGCTGGGAATCCAAAATATCCAGATCTCCAAATTCAATCTCGATTGCATCCTCAAATGCCCAGCACAGACAGAGGCGACCGAGGCCAGCACATAGATGGCTTTTTCTCTATACTTTGCGTTTGGGTCCTGGTTTGTTCACTTCTTGCATCATCAGCCTTTCACCTGTCTACATTGGTCCTATTGAGCAACAACGAGCCAAGGCCAAGAAACTGCGAGACACTTTTGTGCGTTTATCGCCAGTACTGGAAGAAAGCAGGGAAAGGTACAGTATCATCTTCGGTCGCTGACTCTCAGCTCCTCGACATCCTGCTTGAAGATTATTTCTTTGTAGGCCTGTCACTGTCACAACTGTCATC